CTAAAGATTTCGTGCAAATTTTGAAATCTTGAGGAAACAAGAATCTGCATAATAAATTGAAATTAAAGATATCAAATGACCTTGAGATTATGAACTTAAACAACCAAATAATAAAATCGCCAAAGTTAAAACTCAAAAATATTCCTACACTATTAAATATAATGTAGATTACAAAACATGAAACTATCAAATGGAAACTGCCATATTTGTCAAAATGACAACAGCCTTTTTTTTTAGTTGTAGTACATCAAAGTTAATTGTTAACAAGCTTCAGGAAATACTTATCCAATCAAACATAGGAATAAATAATCCTATTGTTGAAAAGGACATGATATTAGGAATAAACACAGGAATATTCAAATATGACAATTTTCCAAACACAATTATTACATATCCTAAATGGACTCTGTAGAAAATCGGGAAGTCAATAAAATACAACAAAACGCCTATAGCACCACAAGATATTTATGGTATTTGGAAATATAACTTCAAAATTAATTTGAAATTTGTTCTTCAATTAAAAGGCATAGACATCATCGATAAGACAAAATTGAAGTCAGTGATAATGAAAATTTAGACAAAAAAATATAATATAAGCTTTAAACGAAGTTATTTATGGTTTATTATATAAGACTATAGATCTTATCAATACATACATATATATTTAAATGATATTAAAGTGTTAGCCGTGTGTGTGCTGCGTTCAATGCACATCTTTTGTATGGATATCTTATTAATTACTTACTATGTTAAAGTTCAGGTATAGAGTTAGATGCTTCTAACATCATGTGAATAGATTTTTTAAACTAATTGTAAATACAAGGTAAAAGGTGGACTACATTCTTGGCCTTCTATTACCCCTGAATAGATGGCTTATTTTGTAAACAAGGACCCTTAGTCTGTTACCTGGACGACTAAGGTAATTGTATACAGAAAATATTTAGGAATAAAACGTTTATATGTGTTAAAATTATTTTTTTTTAAATTAGAACATGACCTTGACATTTGACCTTGACCTTTTTTTTCTCTTTTTGGACCAAGGACCTCAAATCAAAAGACCTTAGGTCTCTATCACTTATGGTTTACCAGTTACAAATGCAAATCATTTATATCAAATGCATAAGGGGAAATAACTCTCATATGGAGTTTCCGGATAGCTTCGGTCCAAATCATCCTAATCCTGAAGATATAACGATAAAATTGGTAAAATAAATTTGTCATAATCTTTTAAGGTTGCGAAGGAGCAGTGGACACAAGAAAAACAGTGTTTGGGGAGATAACTCGTACAAGAAAAAGTGTTCGGTTAAACAGGGTCAGTTTCAAAAGCGTATAAACTGTGGATATCCTATACCAAATATCTAAGCAACACCTTGTAAAAAAACAATACTGCGCAAGAAAAACAATTTAGGCGGAAGAAAAACAAATACTAATCAGAACAAAAACAAAACGTCTTTCCACAGAAAAGTAGAAAGACCTAATTATTAGTAAACAATTTAAATGTAGCATTGTGCCCTCAGGTATACCTGTATACTATGTATTACATTTGTCGTTGAATAATACAATTGACAGTTCTATATTCATTTTGTTAACTATGACCTTTAATCAATAATTAAACATGTTAAAGATTTGCCTGTATTACTGAGCTAATTTTCAAACATAAACAACTACTTTTGTTTTAATTTGAAAAAAAAATATTGACAATGACAAAATTAGTTGTTTAACCTTAGTATTTGTCAACACGATTTTGTAACATCATCTTCGTATAGTACCATCTTATATAAGTACCGTTGCACAAATCTTAACACTTTTATAACTGTTTCATTATCTGCACTGTACATGTATCACCAAGACGATCCGGTACGAATGAAACATATTCATAAAATATATTTTGCCGATCCTTTCCTGTCTATATCTATTTAAAAACAAACAGGTCAAGTGTTTAAATTTCTAATTATCAAAGAATTCTATAGTTTAGCTATATTGAGTATTTATTGTTTAAAATGCAGATTAGTATCGTTAAAAATACAGTTACGTTTACAATATTGATATTCTTTATACGCGATCTGTATGATACTTGTGAAAGTAGATTATTCGAAGTTAAGAATAGGCCTAAAATCCCCAGGTGAATACGGAAGAAGCAATTTGACAACATGGCAGCTTGGGGAGCTTCACAGGAAGACGTAGAACATAATGTTCATGACGAGACTGCAAGTAGTGAAAAAAGCACTGTAGACACTTTTTCGACGAATACATATACAATACTAGGTAGGAATCGGTCGTTGAGGAACGCAGTTAAAGAACTACAGAGAACGTTTCATATGTATAAAGACACAATGGAAGAATTGATAGTAAAGCCTGTGATGATTCTTGAGGAGTAAACTCACAATGATATTTCTGCAGCTAAAGGTCAACTGAAAGAGTCTGAAGAAATTTTAACACAAGCTGTTATATTACTGAAAGATGGTGTAAAAACAATGAAAGAAGCAATGAATAAACACAGTCGTAAAGTCGATGAATTGTGTAACTACGGAGAATGTTCGAACGAAGTTTCATGTGACATTCTTCCTACAGACTGCCAAACACTGACAGAAGGTAATACTATAAATATGTCATTGTTAATTCTGTGTTTTAATGTGTACAGTGTTTCCTATCACCTATTAAAAACTGTATTCATAACAACTTTACTGCTTGATTGGCCAAATACAGCGTGGCAACAAGAACCAATTTACAGCAAACACGGAAACATTCCTCGAAAACAAGTCTCAGTAATAAAAGCAAATACATGTATAAGTAAAAATATAAGTATAGTTAGATGATATTAAATTACACAACACAGGGGTTATTAGCAAGTTTTCATCCAGGTGACCATGTAATTCACTGTCACAGGTTGATATTAATGCTTTATATATTTCCAAAATTTAAAGATACAATTTCGTTTTGAATATGAACTTTGGATAGGAAAATTGAATAATACATGATGTTAAAATAATGCTTTTGCTGTACTGACTTATTCACTTTAACATGTTTAATTATTGAAAGAAAACTTGGTCAATCACATTTTGATATTTTTTGTATACTAGTATATATTATATATATCATAAAGTCTGTAAACGGGACCAACCCGCAAATTTAATATGTACTTGATCGTCTAGAAAAGGCGATACTGCGCAGATAAGAAAAGGAAAAAATTATAATTATGAATTATGATTTCCGCAACGATACTAATATAAGATGGTAATATACGAAGATGATGTTATAAAATCGTATTTACAAATATTTCGACTGAACAAATAGCCTTCGTCAATGTCAATATTTTTAACAATATATATATATATATATATATATACATGTTATCTGAATTTATAATGTTATTGTTATAAGTATTATTTTTTTTCTAATGAAGTATACTAAAAAATTTAAAGTAGTTTCATCCATCAGTTTACTTGCAAATAAGGTTTAACACGATTATCTACATTAACTCAATTCTAATAATAATTCTGTAAATATGAACGCATAATTCATGAACTTTACAAGAACTTTGTGGTAAGGAGAAAATACAGTGAATTGATTCATGGCAGAATGATACAAATTGTTTACAAACAACAGTCGACTTTTGTATACCTGCATAACTGTTTCCGACCAAAAAAGTAGATTCAGTAATTAAGAATATTATGATTTACATAAACACCAAGTATTAAACCCACGAAACATCGTCAATAGTGTGCCATAATGACAGCTGCAAACCTTTTCAATATGCATAATAAGATAGCATTATAAAACAGGCATTCGTTTAATTCTTTTTTTTTTTTTTTTTGAGAGAAGATGATTAACGTTTCTGGATCCTTGTTAGTCAAAGAATAATAATTATTGAAAATCATAAATATAATGCCTGCAGTAACGGAAATATTCTTCAGGCGATAATGATGCAAGAAATATTGATGGTTTATAACATTACTTCTGATGATAGCAGTATTTAGTCTGCAGCACTGTGATGTAAGTCTGATACATACATAAACCATATTGAAATAAACGAAAGGTTGATTTCCGAAATTTGCCGATGATTACCGAAGTATTCCGAATTCGTCTTGTTACATTCTTCAAATATTATTTCCATTCGCCTCAATACTTTTCTTGAAGGTTGTTTGAATTAAGTGCGAGGGGTTATAGGTTCGTTGCCCAGTTGTGTCAAACTAAGGTCTTCAGATTTGGCCTTTGCGACTTCGTTGCCAAGAACATACAACTTGTCTGTCTAGTACAAAGCAGGGTGCATTTCTATATCATTAACATATTATCGTGCTGTATATGCATATAAAATTTGCCGCAGAACGTTAGACAGTTATCAATCATTTCATCAAGCTATCAAGTTTGCAATTTTAAAAAAAAACTTAATTTGAACATGCAGGTCTCTTGCGTATCTGATGGAGGTTCATCGATAGAAGCACGTGTTGTGCTAACTTTAATCATATTAGATAGTTTTCGATAGAGTAAAACAAGGATATCAATGAATAGTTTAAGAAAAAGCTCTAATTCTAATTTTTTAAAACACAAGAAAAATAGTGTACTTAGGGTCGTTAGTTTCATAAACATTTGTTTTTCTTTTCCAGCATTGATTGATTGAACTCCAATTTTCGGAAGATTAAAACCCTGATAGTATTATGTTGCCTTGTGACTGCAAGTTTTGCTTCTCCTTTCAAATCTAAATTTAAGGAAGGATCTGCCATTTATGAGGCAATTAAGTAAGTAGAATATATACTAGATATTGAAAATTGCTGACAATTTAGCAGAAATTGAAAAACAAATTAGATTCATAAACATATGGTTTTGACAAAGATAGAAGTAAATCGAATAGTTTCATCATATCATTAAAGTCCATTATGGACTAACGAATAGTTTTCAAAAACAGCAACAATGTCAATGTATGAAAAATACTACGTTTCTGGGACTATTTTTCCCCCCTTATACTTAACACTTTTATTGTTTTACCAGTAATGATTACTTAAAGGGAAGTCGATGTAGTTGTATTGTTATTCTTTTTTAATGTTTTTGAAATAATGTATATTGTAGATTGATATGAGATATTTGGAAGATCATATAATAAAACAAACTGCAGTGCTTGTTTCGAAAATAATTAGGTTCAAAATTTAAATTTTGGTAGCTTCAATTAATTTCCTGCTAATTTTAAGATTATCTAATTTTATCAATGAAAGAGTCTCTTGTGAATATGCTTCTTTTATTTAAACTCTGAAAATATGTTTGCCCAAATGTCGACTCATATTGTAAATTTGAAATTCAAAGTTTTAAGTCAATGCTATTGTGACTACTCCTTTCACATGTCTAGATATCATTTTCGTACGTTTCGTCAATTTTAATGACGTCTCCCACCAATATCCAGATGCAGTTCATAATAATAATTCTGACAAATCAAATATTTGTTTTCGGTTTCATTAACCATCAATGGGTTATTATGAGGATTGAATAATTGTCCAAATTTTTTGCCCGGTAAGGAGTTACAGATATAACAATTTCATCAAAGAAAAAAAACTGTCAGCAACGAGACATTAAACGTAAATTATCGCGTTTAGAGTTATCTCCCCCTGAAACTCCCCTTAATTAATTCCTTTGAATGATGCTACATAAAATAAACAAATAACACCAGGTAAGCTAATATTTAGTTCCCAAATTTGTCTAGTTAAAACATGTATTTTGAGATAACGAATAGAAAAATAAGTTGAACAATTTACCGATCTTTACAAATAGAACATACTTTATTTGCGAAGCTGTTTAAACAACGCCCATCTAGATCAAATTGATACACTTAAAATATAACTATATCTACTGATCATATAGTTGTAACATTTATTTGTGTTAATTGATGTCGTTTGAAAACTGATGATAAATGATATTTTATTGAACGAATTTAAACTTATCCATCGAATAGCCTGCATTAGCAATGGTTTGCTGCTTCGTATGAACAGACGACATCTTTTTTCGCAGAGGTGTTGCCCACATTTGAATTACACTTCGAAATACGCAGGGGACAAGTTAAACTTAACCGAGCGTTGAATGTAAATTTTCTGAAAATTAGGGAATCACATTTTAAGTTGCATTTTTAGAATTTTCCCAAAAATAAGCAAAGGGACTTATACTTTTTATGTATTTAATAAGTATTTCTAATGCAAAAGAGAGACACTGTAAAGAGAGATGTCGTTGCCGTGACTTTTAGGCTGATTGATACAAATAATGATGGGCACATTGATGGTAATGAGTATGCCTCATATTATGCAAATAAAAACATACCTGGACTGGACTACAGCAGGACTCGATGGAGACAGTTGTTCTACTTAGCCATGCCTCAAATTGACACAAACGGGAATGAAAAGCTAGAAATTGGCGGTAAGTTTGATTGTATCCTTTAAGTTTTAAAAATAAAGAATAGTAAACTTTATTAAAAGCACTGGCATGACAACATGTGAAATGAATTCATAAAAGATAACCAAAGCCCTGATTATCATCAAGCAATAAACGAAAAACAATTATAGCAGGCAGCAACCAACGACAGCCATTGGATAACAGGCTCATGAATTTAGACAGGCACAAAGAGTTGGGTTAAAATGTTTGTTAGCGCAAAATCCTCCCCTAATTTGGGACAGTAGTGTATTAACGTTAAATGAATACATATGATTGATATTACTTCAATGTTATATCCAGGATTTGAACATCGTTTCTTAATAGAGAGTCTTACTAAGTTTCATTATACTAATATGCAGCTCTATTCATACTGACATCTTACAAAAATGAAAAAGTGTATGATGTTATGACGTCATTGAGATTTGCGTAATATAGGTCCTAAATAATTTGTCTGTAAACTTTTCGAAAATGAAATTTACAGAATGTTGATCTATTTAAGTCCAGGGGCGGATCTGGGATTTCAACTAAGAAATACTGCCGAACGTACAAGGCGAAAAAAGTTTTGGACGATTTTATGTTAAATAATGATATATTTTCCGACCAGGGGGATACAGGGTGTACCCCCTCTTTGACTTAGGACTGGTGTATAAAAATGTAGCGGGTTTAAACGTTTTAACAGGCGCCAACCTTCACCCTAACCTGAGACAGTAGTGTAAAATTACAACGTAAGTTCATTTAACATATACTACTAGAGAATAAAATTGAGAATGGAAACAGGGAATGTGTCAAAGAGACAACAACCCGACCAAAGAGCAGAAAACAGCCCAAGGCCACTAATCGGTCTTCTACACAACGAGAAAATCCCGCTTCCGGATACAGGCTTCAGCTGTATTAATTTGTTCAGTTGAGGTTCTGACTCCTTGCGTTTAACCAATGTTTCCCTTTTCTGATAAATAACATCTACAAAGTCATTATAATAATTATAATGATAATATTAATGAAAATAATTACACAAGTCAAAAATCACTAGTTATGTGAGTGAAAACAATACTATATCTTAGCCGAATGTTAAATTACGACTACAAGCAACCATAGATTGATTTTTTTTTCACTACTCTCTAGTTGACATTGTGAAACATCCATTATACTTACAGCTTATATTTACTAATTTGTATTTCTTTTGCAGAATTCCGTTCGTTAGCAGAACGTGCAATGAGATATTAGAGGGTATTAGAAGCAAAATGTGACGACATTCCACCCGTTATTAAAGTGAAATTTACTTAAAAGTCCGATTCCAAATTTACTATTTTCAGTTCCGACTTTAAACAAAATTTGTGTTTGTTTTTCACAATTGCTTAACGCGTCATTTGTTCCTTTTAAACGGAAGCTACACTTCCCAAATAAAAAAAATCAATGTGAAATTTGCCTTTTTATTTTCGCGTTTCAGAATCTAAAGCCTGCTTACATTTTTTTTAAGTTGCTTATCATTTGTTCTCTGGTGAATAATTGCCTCGCTGGCAATCATACAAGATCTTTTTTTTTAATTTTTATACTAACAAAATTTAAAAAGTGTTAACCAAAACGTTGGTATTTGTTGACGGTGTGTGTCTTTATCAAATAAAGTACAAGCAAATTATAGCTTCTAATTGTTCAGGAACCAATTAAATTATAAACTTGTTTGCTTGTTTGTTCATTCCTTTTTGTTGTTTAATGTTAAAGGTAGACTAGAAATTTTCAGAAGTTAATGACTTAAAGCCACAGATGCATACATTTTTTTTAAATTGAAACTTATGTATTCTTAAGATCGAACAGCTTATATAAATAAGGAGATGTGGTATGATTGCAAATGAGACAACTATCCAAAAGAGTCCAAAATGAAGCGAATTCCATCAACCAAATGTCACCGTATGGCCTTCAATAGTGAGAAAAAACCATACTCTATACTCAGCTATAAAAGGCCCTGACATGACAAAATGTTACACAGGGTGCTAGTGACCTACTGAACGATCGAAAATAAATGCAGAAAACTCATTAAAAGCTTAAAGTTATTATTGTTGGCATTTCTTTTTGGATAGACCAATGGAAGTAGGTTCTTAATATTGAAGACTTGATCATTTTGACAGGCCATTAGTATAAATGCCACATGTAAAGATATTCGGTAAGATAAATTCGTTACACAGTGTGCTAGTGACCTAATACGATATATATAAGATCACTAGCACACTGCGTAACTAACAATATACAGCTTTTGTCTATCAGTGATGCTTAATGACACCATTAAGAATTGCATAGCCGTTGAATTCGTTGCATATCAATAAATTATCTGTCATAGAAAATTGATCAAGGATGTTCTGTCAAATGCTGATTCACCTATTGCGTTATGAGTTAAAGAATTGACAACGTAGATTGTTTCCATCTACAGTAAATTCAGTAATACTCGAAGGACGTAGTTTGTTGCTGTTGTTAAAGGTCTATCTCAAATTAAATTGCGTTAGATTGTTATAATGAAGCTTTTCCTTTCTATTCATTTCTGGTTAGAATAAAGTAACGAATTTTGGTGAATGACGGTGGATAGTTCTTCTTATATGGTGTTTTTAAATAATCACCCTTTCCGCTCTTATCTTTTACCAAAGCATACAAAAAGTTATTTTGGCTTTTTATTGCCCAACATAGACCAAGTTACATGATATTCTTTTTCAATGTTTTCATGTTACAAATTCCAATGCTTGAGCAGTCTGTAAAATTTAAAGCAAAAGTAGTATTTTTGAATTTGCGGAATCCATAAGAAAACTCCAATAAATAAAACAGACATAAGTGCAGTCATTTACATGACTTATGGTTTTGTCAGTTTTTATGGACTCCCCCTTTTTAATTTACCTAGGACACTGTGTAGCTTCACCACCGAATATAGGTACCCCCGAAGCAAAAAAACAATAAATCAAAAAGTATATATTATATTCCCCGTACAGTACAAAACTATTTGCGGTACAATTTAACCACTTTATTTACATGAATTTGTTTATTTCGAAATACAGTATTGTTCAAGCTTAAATATGATATACCTTTGTTATACGAAAACGTCAAATGAATAGTCGAAGGATAAATCTGTTTTAACAAGTTTGAACTCGTTACATGCTTCTTTGAACAGGAACCCCTTGTTCAATTCTAACGAATTGAAAAGAGAGAACGCCAATTAAGGATCATAATCAGCCCTAAATAGTAGCTACATTATTAAGAATCAGTATCACAAGATTTATCTTTTCAGCAAAACGTAAAATATAATGAAAATAAGAAGAATTTGACCTTAGGCCACGCCAATTAAATTCCTTGTTCGACGGACCCGCCCGGACATATTTTTTTCTAAACGGAAAAAAAATATTTTTAAATATTCCCGCTTCCAACATCCGGAAAAGTCATCATGTCTATTTCCCGCGCCGGTATTTGTGTAAACATTAAAAAAAGCGATCGCCAGAGCGTTTTAGTCAACGTCAAATCGCAACCATTTAAACTGTTTCGAGCAATAATACAGATTTCTTATCAAAGTCAAAGACGATTATTCACAAAATCATGCTGGTTTTCGTTGTTAGAATAAAAGACTTACAAATTAGAAGGAGATGTATGTGCTAATACAGACACCTTTAAGCAAAACTATCCATACCCGCAGCATTTTTATGCACCTGTCCTAAGTCAGGAGCCTGTTGTTCAGTAGTTGTCGTTTGTTGGTGTGGTTCATATGTGTTTCTCGTTTTGTATATCGATAAGACTGTTGGTTTTCCTGTTTGAATTGTATTACACTAGTCATTTTGGACCCTTTATAGCTTGCTGTTTGGTGTGAGGCAAGGCTCCGTGTTGAAGGCCGTATACGTACTTTGACCTAAAATTGTTAATTTTAAATACATTGTGACTTGGATGGAGAGTTGTCTCATTGGCACTCATACCACATCTTATTTATATACAAAGTGCCCAAAAGACAAAGAACAAAAATGAAAACACCAAAACGACGGAGACACAGACAACAAACATATAACCCAAAAAACTAAAACGTACACACATCATTGAACAGCACGAACCCCTAAAAACTGGGGGTGAACTCAAGTGTTTCGGAAGGATGAGCAGTTCCTGCTTCTTTCAAGACACCCGCCTTGTTGCTAGTCCGGTGAAGGAGGAAAGACGTCTATGACAATTCAATGGAGATCGTTTAAGGCAGTTGAAATAACTATTCAATTATCCAGTTCAAGATCTGATGACCTCAGAAAGTAACAGTAATACAAGAAGTCATAAATATGCTGAAATTTAAAATAGGCATTACATGTCTTGGTGAACAGGAAAAGAAAAAAAAACACTTCAGCAGTTGATAATTAAAAGACATGTCAAAGTACAAGTGTTAAATCAAGTTTCATACCATCTTGTTTTGATCAATATTGTCAGAACCTATGATTTTATGTTTTCCAAAAAAAATATATATAATCGCTCGCCTTTACTTTTAAAGATTCGCCTCAAAAATTTTGCAAATAAATTTTTTTTCTATTAAAATTTTCAAATCGCTCGCTCGCCCCAATTTCTGGAGTGGAAAAATCCGTAGAACAAGAAATTAAATTGGTGTGGCCTTACCTAACTTCACAATTGTTATATATGGTGAGGATGCTACACACTATTGGAGTCCGGTAATTTAGTTTTCAAATTGTTTACACCAAAAAATAGTAAAAATTTCACTCGATATTATGATGATTTTGAATTTTAATTCAAGAGAGGCGGTAGATAGCCAAGGGATAATCAAACTCATCAGTCAAAAACAAACTGACAATGCCATTGTAAAAGGCGAAAAAGACCAAAAGACAAACAGTAGTCTACCAATCCCTTATAGAAAACTTAAGACTGAGCAAGATAAAAACCAACAAAAACAGGGGGTGATCTCATGTACTCCACAAGGGTTAGCAGATCCTGCTCTACATATGACACCTGATCGTTGTGATGCTCCTGTAGGTACAAATCTTGTGGTAAGTCTTATTTTGTAGGTAACATTCGTCGTCATCTGTGAAACATATATTCGATAACAGTCAACCAACTCGTGATTGCCCCCGTAAAATTTCGAAGGGATGACTTCAACTTCAACACTTAGAACGCTTGGTTTTATATCTTCCTTGTGAGCAGCAATATAACATGATAGGAAATGCAAGCTCTTGTATATGCTCACAACTGGTAGATATATACTCTATATACAAGTGCCTTTGGAGTTTTGCTTCATAGAAATGGAACAATTAACAAACCCTCGTTGTCAATTTCTGGATGTAAGTCAATAAATGTGGCAGACATAAGTATATATGTTGTATACTTTATTTCAAGTTAGAGTGGACATACATTGTGTACTTGTGCTTTAACATTCAACTGTGACGCTGTTGAACCTAATATTTTTCTTTATTGTAAACAGGTAAAATAAAGTATGTTTATAATATATGTAAACCAAAAATTGATTCAATTAATTATAAAAATATATAGATGCTGTAAATCAACTCTGTTAGCTTAAATAACCAGTCATCCTGATGTCTATGATGAGTTTATATGCAGTCGTACAACTAGGAAACACAATTAATAAAACAAAAATTAATGACGTCTAAGGTAAGTTATTCAGGGTTCTACGATGTTATAGCTAGGGAAGTCTTTTCTGCTTCTGTTGGAAAATTCACGGAAATGGTTGCACTGTATTGAAACAAAGTAACACTTATTAAAGCAAAAGCGAAAGCGGGCACAGCAATTGACGTTCCTTACAATAATGTGTAAACCATGCGTTATGTATGTTATGTGCTATTTAAAAAAATTATTAACTCCAGAAAAAATCATTGTTTAGCTTTGTTTGTTAAAATATAGAGGTACAATTACTCCTGTTTCTCTACCAGTAATATATTTAGGAAGAAATGAATGATAGACATTTCTCATTTATAGATATGAAGTACCACAAGTTTAAGTCTTAATAAACTGTTAACACAGAGATATGTCTTGCCTTTTTGTTATTTCGATAAATTAAATGCAAATGTTGAAACTTAAACTTATCATAAGTCGTTCCCTTTAAACAAACCTCAACACAAACATTAACTTGTAAACTATGTTAAAGTTTCAAAGTCAGTGAACCATGATGAGGGGTTGGGGCTATACAATCTCCATGGAAATGAGACTTGCAAATGCCTATACGTTTGCAAACCAAATACATTGACTTAACATAAGTGGTTCATCTTAGACTGATCTAATCACAAACTAATACATGTAAACTAAGGAAAAGTTTTAAAGTTAATAGATCATGACTGAGGGGGTAGGTTCGAATAATCTCCATGGAAATAAGATGATCCAATGCTAATACAACTGCATACTAAATATCATTGACCTACCACTAGCAGTTCACCTTAAACTAGATTTAAACATATACTAATATATTGTTGACGCCGACGCCTGAAACAGCATACCTATGTCTCGCTTTTTGAATCCGTCAAGGCGAGACAAAAACCTTTGCCATAGAGATATGTGCATCAGTAATATCTCAGATGTTAAATTCTCCTAAAGAGTATACTTGTACATTAAATGTGAATTTTTGATTACTAGTAAATATTTGCTACCAAAATTGATTCAAAGAAATGTCTTTATATA